GCCTGGCTCTGGGCAAACCCCTAATCTCAGGTTCTTCACATGGATAAAAAGGATAATTGTTCCTACTTCAAGGACAGGCAGTGGAGGAAGTGACAATTAAATACAATTCTTGTGACACTAAGTAAATATAGATTGTCCTCTCTCCTGGCTCTGCCTCTTTTCCTTTGGTGACACTACCCTGCACTCTTGCCAGCTCTGAAATTTGTGTTATTGGGCTCGAGTCCCTGCTGCTATAGATGCTAAGCAGTGGACGGTGTGTTAGGGTGGGGTCCCCAGGTGGAATCCCAGGGTTGTTTCCGCAGTCAGACAACAGGCTAGTGACTGTCCTGCCTCACAGGATTTTGGGGCAGCTTCACATGTTAACTTTGATGAAGTGCTTAGAGCAGAGTCTGGCACACAATAAAAGCGTAAATACATGAGGGCTGTTATTTTGGCCTGCTTGTAGGCCACTGGTGAAAAGAACGTGGAGAGAAGGGGCAGCCCAGCGTAATAGTGGGGTAGGAGAGTGAGGGTCTTTGCAGACGCTGCCTCACACATACCTTTTATGACAGGTGTATTGCGCTGTCACACAGACTCAAGTCCTAAGGGGAAATGGAAAGCCATGGGTGAGTCTTGGTGGATATAGCAGGACATGATAGGTAAGTGGCTCTCCAACCACATTTTCTTCAAGGCGTCTATCTCCAGGACTTCCCCGGGACCCATGGAGAGGATAGGAGCCAGTCCTTTCCTGCCTCCCTCGTCCATCCCCCTCGAGCTGTTATCTTTGACCCTACTCCACCAGTGCACCCAGCAGCCCAGTCCCAGGGTGACCGTCTCTCCCTTCCCTGGTTTCATGCTTTCCTTCAGATCCAGAGCTCATACTGTAAAACCTCAGACAAGCATAAAACATAGCACATGGCCAACACTTGAATATACTTTGTGTGTGTGTGGGGGGGGGTGCGCCCTGAACTCTGGATCCAGGCGCTGTCCCTCAGCTCTTCAGCTCAAGGCTAGAGCTCTACCACTTGAGCCACAGCTCTACTTCTGGCTTTTTTCTGCTTATATGGTGCTGAGGAATCGAACCCAGGGCCTCATGCATGCAAGACAAGTGCTCTACAACTGAGCCACCTACTCATCCCTGAATATACTTTAAATAAAGAAATATGACCTAATTTATGAAACAATAACTCCTCTGCACCACACCTTAATAACAATAATAAAATACAGTAAAAAAAAAATAAATATGGGGCTGGGAATGTGGCTTAGTGGTGGAGTGCTTAGCTTACATGAAGTCCTCAGTTTGATTCTTTGGTTCCACATAAACAGAAAAAGCCAGAAGTGGCATTGTGGATCAAAATGGTAGAGTGCTAGCCTTGAGCAAAAAGAAACTCGGGCCGGGTGCTGGTGGCTCATGCTTGTAATCCTAGCTACTCAGGAGGCTGAGATCTGAGGATCATAGTTCAAAGCCAGCCGAGGCAGGAAACTCAGTGAGACTCTTATCTCCAATAAACCACTAGAAAACTGGAAGTGGTGCTGTGGCTTAAGCAGTATAGTGCTGGCCTCGAGCTGAAGAGTGCAGGGAAAGCGCCCAAGCCCAGAGTTCAAGCCCCATGACCGACAAAAAGAAAAAAAAGAAACAGGAACAATGCCCAAGCCCCGAACAAGCAATAAATAAATAAATATGGAGGTAAAGTGCCAGTATAACAGCTTGGTCAAGGACAGACTTCCCTGGGTCTGACTGGAAGGCAATTGTTACCCAAGGCTTCCTAAAAAAACTTCAGGAGGCACAGGAGTGGCCTTAGTTTCTGATGACTCTGGCAGCCCCCCAAGGTTACTCAGGGTAAGAAAAAGACGATAGAAATAAGTCTGTAGACTATAGGGTTTGGGTCAGGGATGGGCAGCCAGTCAATCTTCCTACATTAAAAAAAAAAATCTTGGGCTGGGACTGTAGCTTAGTGGTAGAGTGCTTGCCTTACAGGCAAGAAACCCCAGGTTCTATTCCTCAGTACCACATACACAGCAAAAGCCAGAAGTAGCACTGTAGCTCAAGTGGTAGAGTCCTAAAAGAAGCTCAGGGACAGTCCCCAGGCCTTGAGTTCAAGCCCCAGGACTGGCAAAAAAAATAAATAAATAAAAATTGCCAGGCACTAGTGGCTCATGCTAGCTACTCAGGAGGCTGACATCTGAGGATTGTGGTTCAAAGTCTGTGAGACTCTCACTCTAATTAATCATCAGAAAACTGGGAGTGACTCTATGGATCAAAGTTTATGCACCAGCCGGGCGCTGGTGGCTCACGCCTATAATCCTAGCTACTCAGGAGGCTGAGATCTGAGGATCGCGGTTCAGAGCCAGCCCGGGCAGGAGAGACTGTGAGACTCCTATCTCCAATAAACCACCAGAAAACCGGAAGTGG